CAAGAAGGCGGCTAGTCAGAGAGGTAGCCTCGGCGAACAAGACAGTACGGCATTGCCTTCCTTGACAGAACATCCTTGTCCTGGAGGGAAGAAGAAGTCAAAGGGAATTCATGACACCATGGTTATAGAGAGGGAAAAAGAAAACCTGAAGGTTGGATCTTCTTTGATTCCCAAACCAAAAAAGAGTTCTGATGATAGTTATACATCAAAAAATGAAATTGACGATCTCAAAGTACAAAAGGGTCACGTAAAGGCTAGGGATGCATATAGAGATTTCTTTGGCGAATTGGAAGAAGACGAGGACAAAATTGATTCACTGGAAACTCCTTGTGAAGATAAACTGAAGGAATCTGAGGCGGTTGAGAGGAGTGTGGCTGAAACAAATCTTGGAGCAAAGGAAAGATCAGGTGGTAAGAAAATTGATAAGTCATCGACAACAGAAGTAAATCCTAAAACAGCCACAAATGGCTGGTGCACTGGAAATGCACCTAGTACTGTTGTGGAGAATGGAAACGGGGTTCCTGCAATGTTGCCTCTTGTTGAGATGGAAGATAACTGGGTACAGTGTGACAGGTGTCATAAATGGCGTCTTCTTCCTGCTGGCAAAAATCCTGAAAGCCTACCTGAAAAGTGGCTGTGTAGCATGCTTAATTGGCTGTAAGTTCTAATTCAGTGGTTAAAACTTATAAATATATTTGTTCGTGTTTCATTTCATAAATAGTAAATACTAAAAACTAGCAAATTAACAATAAGTGGCTGTGTAGTGTGCATTCATGTACATTTATCTAGCAATTTAAGCTTTTGAAATAATTTATTTATGACACAAATTAACATTATGTGCATATTTCTGCAGGCCTGACATGAATCGTTGTAGTTTTAGTGAAGATGAAACCACTAAAGCCCTTTTTTCTCTATACCAAGGGCATTCTCTTGATGCTCAAAACAACCTGCAAAGTGTCTCGGGAACTGTGGCAACTTTGCAGCATCCTGGTCAACGCCAGCTAAATAATGATATGCATGCTGGGCCTGGTGGGAAGAAAAGAGTTGGGAAAGAAATTTCAAATTCTTCAAATAAAGAAGGCGTTTCTCAATCTTCTCATTCTATAAAGAAAAACCATCAGTCATCAGTGAAAAGTCGGAGCTTAAATGACGTGAACAAATCTCCCGTTGTGAGTGAAGCTGATGCCCAAGGGGAGAAACACAAACATAAGCCAAGGATGCTGGAGTACAATTCTGATAGAGGTTACTTGATCCACATATTCATTGTGCTTATCAATTCCGTATCAACTAATATATAGGTACTCAGGGACCTGTTAAATTTCTATTATGTCATCTTAGTTTCTGAAAAATTGTTACAGGTGATGTGAAGAATATGAAAAGCAGGAGGGATCCTGATGAAGATTGTTTGAGGCCATCCAAGAAAAGTAAGACTGACTTGGTTCAATCTGCTGATAAAGAGTGGATTCCAGAACAGAACGAAACCCCTAGGAAGGTCAATCATAGCTCAAACAACACTTTGCCAACTACTTCAGCTGGCAAAGATCGATCTAGACGGAGAGACCACTCCTCTTCGAGTGACTCCAAATTGGGAAAGGACAGGCCGCCGATTTCTTCTGAGAAGAGAAAAGATAAGGGTCGGGATTCCTTGGATGAGAGGTCCCTAGATTTGGGGAATCATGGTTCAAATGGTAGTGTGAAAAAGAGGAAATTGAAGGACTATCAGGATGCTCAAACTCGTAGCACAGGTAATCCTTTCCCACACGAGAGTAGAACTTCTGAGCAGGAGTTCAGTGGCTCCAGGAAGGAAAAGAAGGCAAGAAATTCAAGATCTGAAGGCAAAGAATCAAGTGCTAGTAAAGGCAGTGGCAGGACTGACAAAAAATTTGGTCATTCAAAGAACCAAAATTCCAGGCAAAATCATGGGAGCAATCATTCACATCGGAGCATGGACGGCATGGACAGTTCGAAAAGGGACTTGGGGTCTGTACCGGCTTCTGTTGCCGCCACTTCCAGCTCTTCTAAGGTATCTGGCTCACATAAAACCAAAGCCAGCTTCCAGGAAATGAAGGGCTCCCCTGTGGAATCAGTTTCCTCCTCGCCTTTAAGAAATTTAAGTACAGATAAGTTTTCAAACAGAGACGTTATTTGGAAAGATGTGACTCGTGAAACTACTGCTGTGGATAGTCCAAAAAGATGCTTAGACGGCGAAGATGATGGTGCAAGTGATCGTTCGGAAACAGCTAGGAAGGACAAATCTTTTTCCATGGGCCACAGGTCTGATTTTCAGGGAAAGGGTGTTGTTAATCATATATCAGATACTGAGCCTAAAGCGCAAACAACCAGCCATTATGCCAATGGTGGTGCTGATATTGTGGCCCCGGATGGGACATATCCAGGTGCAGAGCAGATTAAGGATCACGGCGAAGACAGGACTGGTGTTTATTATGCCAACGCTAGTGTGTCTCACGCAAGGAAAACTGGCATGGAATCAGATTTGGAGGAAAACAAGCAGGGCTGTAAGTCAGAGCCCCCTGAAGTAAAAGTCAAGAGCTCTAGTTCTCCTAGTCATCTGCCAGATCAGTCTCCTCTTTGCGAGACAAAGCATAGGGATGGAAAAGTTAAGTTGCAGGATAAGTTGAGGCTCAAGCCTGACCTGAATGAGAATATTCATGCTAGCAAAAAAGACTTGACAGGAAAAAATGAAAGTAGGAAAAAAGAGAATCACGGAAAGAGAGGGCATGATGCTCAAGAGGGTCGCGTTGAAGCCCTAAGCAAATGGGAACCATTACATGCTCCCAGTAAGAATCAGTTGGCAGACTGTGATACCGAAAGATCTTCAAAGAGGTCTCTTTCAGAAAGACCTGATCAAGAAGTGCTTGGAAAAGGGAAGTCTCAAGTTGAGATTTTGAGTCATTGCCCACGACCAGTCGCTGGTTCCCATAGAGGAAATGGAGATATGGAAGTTGACCCGTCCAAAGCTGATGATGCGTCAAAGCTGCAAAAAAAGCAATCAAAAAAGGCTGATCATCAAAATGGAACTCAGCAAGTTGGTTCCAAAAATCACGCACTTAATGGACACAGATCCAAGGAACTCGATGCCCCTAGTCCACTTAGAAAGGATTCTTACACCCATGCTGCTAACAATGCTGTTAGAGAAGCTAAAGATCTTAAGCACCTGGCTGATCGTCTCAAGGTTTTTGCACTGTCCTTTTAGCTCTTGATATTTTTTCTCTTCTTGGATGTTGCTTTACTAACTCTGGGTTTATCATACAGAATTCTGGATCCACTCATGAGAGCACAAATCTGTACTTCCAGGCAGCCCTTAAGTTTCTTCATGGAGCCTCTCTATTAGAGTCTGGCAACAGTGATAATGCAAAACACAGTGAGATGATTCAGTCAAAGCAGATGTACAGTAGCACAGCAAAATTGTGCGAGTAAGACAGTTTTTCTTTGTCACCTTGTTTTAACTTGTTTTAAGGATCATATTATCGTCCTTGTTTTCAATACTTCTCTCTATAAAAGATTCTTCCTTTTATTTTTATTTATATTTGGATGCAAACATGCCTTCATAACACCATATTGATATTTTACATTTGGTAGGTTTTGTGCCCATGAATACGAGAAATCAAAAGACATGGCTTCAGCTGCTCTGGCCTACAAATGCACGGAGGTGGCATATATGAGGGTAATATATTCTTCACACACTAGTGCAAGCAGAGATCGGTATGAGTTGCAGTCTGCCCTGCAAATGACTCCTCTTGGTAAGAGATCCTGTTGTGTTATTTTTACTGTTTCATGATGCAATGATTCCTTTCGGAATTCCTCTCTTTCCATTTGATTTGGTCCTGCACCCTGGACATCCTACCAAACCATCTGTGCTCGATAAATGAACATAATATTGATCCTAGCTTCTACATCTGTAAATTTTTATGACATTTCTGTCAAAGAATATATAATGTCATGTGCATTATGACAAGAATTTCATATGGCCGATGATGGGAAAGAGACGGATGAAAACAGGAATAAGATAGGTTATATTTGGCTCATTTACTTGCTATTACTAACTAGTCGAAAATATGTTTTCCTTTCATTGCATGAACAAAGGACTATTTCTCTTTCTTATGAGTGTTACTGATCTTGAGATTATGGTGGCGATGAGATGGATATAAATAAAACTCTTATCTTTTTTGTTTGTTTGGACTTTGTTTCATTTGTCAGGTGAATCTCCGTCATCATCAGCCTCCGATGTTGACAATGTTAACAACTCTACAGCAGTTGACAAAGTTGCCCTATCCAAGAGTGTCAATTCACCTCATGTTGCTGGAAACCATGTTATTGCTGCTAAAAGCCGTCCTAATTTTGTGAGGATACTTAGTTATGTAAGTACATAATTCTTTGTAGAAGAATGATATTAAAAACCATCCTGCTTGCATGTTGGAGGAAATTGTCTTATGAAACTTTATAGAAGGAGAATTCATACGTGCGTATTTCGTCAGAGTAATTTGAAGTCCTTAAGAGAGAAAAACATGAATCTTGATTATGTGAATTCATTGATTGTCATGCAGATGGGAGTGATTAGAACTTGTAAGAAATATAGAATTGACTGATTGACATGTATAACTGCAGGCTCAGGATGTGAATTTTGCCATGGAAGCCTCAAAGAAATCACGGAATGCTTTTGCAGCTGCTAATGCAAGCATGGGCGTGGGTAAGAATGGCGATGGTATTTCCTCTATCAAGAAGGCTCTTGATTTTAGCTTTCAAGATGTGGAGGGACTACTACGTTTAGTACGGCTTGCTGTGGAGGTCATTCATCGTTAAAAGGTCCAATTTGTCATGAAATGATTCTAGCCCATTAAGAACATCTGTTTCTTTCGTCGTGTACAAAACCTTCAACGACAAAAAGATGTTCTTGATTCAATTATGAAGGGCAGGGTTTATTGTGTTGGATCTTTAACCAGTCTTGCCAACTGATGAAGCTAGTACCGGCTCTACCTTAAATGTTCCCATATGCTTTGAAATCTTTGGCAAGCCTGAGATGGTGTGGAGGCATTCAGAAGTCAGCTTCCGTAAAGCAGATTCGTATCAACTCTGATACGTGGAATGATGCTACATCAGGATTGTAAATTGACGATATGATACGTGGATATGGATAGATTTAGAAGTTTTGAAAATTAGTTATCATCTTTTGTTCTCATTTGGAGGGGTTATTATTTTGTCGATTTGTAAATGTGTAGAAGTTGTAACTTCTGGTTAGGTAGTTGTAATCTCGCCTCTACCGGTGGAACTTGCACTTGCTCCTCTTGGTGAGTCAAGGAGAGTAAGACTAAGGTGAGCATTCCTTTGATTCTTTCTTTTTGATATATGGACATTAACTTTCATTTCTCAATCGCCATTTTTTTTCTTCCTGATTTAAGTCATGACTTATGTGCAGGTCTTGTACAATTTTGGAATTAGTGGTAGAACTCTATTCTTCTCATTTTCTTGTGGATAAAGAAAGAACAATCAGAAAATAATAAAAGAGGATGTACATCAAAATTTGTTTTTAAAGTAGAAGGTGATAGATAGCATTTCACCCGTTTTTTTCCCCTGAAGGAGCGCGGTCATCGTGTAAATAAACTTAGTAGAATCAAGTGCTTTATGCAGCTGACAGGTATATTTTCTATCACTTTCTATGATCTCATAGTTGAGTTATTAGTTTGTGCAACATTGAACTCATGGAGCTTTTGTGGTAGTTTTGATTCCAACCTCAAAAATTGTATTTGGTTACAGGTTGTGCCACTGAGGAAAATTGAAAATAGAGCTGCAATTTAGCTGGCAAACTCTGTAACTGACCTTAATGGAGTTTTTTTATACTTTCCATTGTCAATGGTGTTTAAAATATAAAGTACTATATCTTATCAACAGCTGCTTGTATTACTTGAACATTCAAATTCAATATTAAATTTTGACTCTTGCCAGCTTTTGTTGCTTTTTTTAAATGGTGTTTCCCTCTATTGAGCATATCAAGTAAATTCTAAAGATATGATAATTGGAGACAGGTAGTTAACAAGACAAGATATATAAGAAGTTAAGTTATTCTAAATATGATAATTTTCAAATGTCTTTCTCCCATACATTAATATTTTCGCATAATTTATATTTGTTTATTTTTTATTTTGATTGAAAATAAAAAAATAATTATAATAATTTGTACGAAATTATTTTTTGGAATATTTATATAGAATGTTTTTCACGAAATCTCTAAATTGGTAGGGTCAAATTATCTACATTTAATAGGAAGATGCGGATGTCATATTTAGGGAATTTCTTACTCCACTCCATATGATTGAAAAATGCTATGCAATCTCGAAAATGCTTCTGTAAAATCGTCTCTCTCTACCTACCTACCTACCTATATAAAACCCAAAATATTATTCAACAACAATCTAAAAATCGATAAGCAAAAAGCAATTCAAACCAAAATACATATACAACAATAAAAACTACTGGGTATAGCGGACTATGAGTCGGCCCATAACCCTCCAGACGTTTCTCCGTTGCCTCCTGTACCGCAGAGTCCGCTGAGCCTCCGCCCTGATGACATCTAAAACACATCTAACATCAGAGCCATCAAGAAAAAGACCTCCATCAATACTCGCCTGCGCAATCTCCATGATACGACGACACCAAGACAACACATCAGTGGTATGATCGGCCCTAGCTTACTCCTCATATAGAATCTCCTGATGAGCTTCCCTCGTTGGGTTTCCTGGAGCATCATGTATTAGATATAGATGGGACACCCTGAAGAACCATATGATATAACCGTCTAAATAACTCTAGTCGTGCGGTGCTAAGGTACTCCGGACCTCACCTGGCACAAGATGATTAACATAATCATCAAACAAAGCATCCATATCCCTCCGTTTCACCAGGGGAGGAGCAAATACAACATGATCTTGGGAAATATAATGCATGTATCCAAACTGACGCATGACGCACTCAGGTAGATGAGCAGCCGTCTTGCGCGACCCGCAAGCCAACAATCCATAATACAATGTAACATCGTCAAATTGAATCGTGACACGGTGGTCGACGTAGGTATGAAAGTGTATATCCTCAAACACCAACCAATCAATATGCACCCGAAACGGCTCTGTCGCCTGGTTCCCTCGGAGCAGCTCGAATGCAGCGGCACACGACCTTTCTTCAGTATAACTCGAGGCAAGTGACCAAACCGAGATATGGGGGAAGTGTTGTAGGATCCATGCCTGAAATTACAATGATTATTAGTTAGTAATAGAATTACGACAATTAACAAAACGAAATCATAATTATTCCAGGTTTGGGCGCATACCGAAAATGCATTTCTGATTTCTATGGGCATTTTTGTATTTTCACGTGGTGCGCTAGAAAAGTATGAGGTGGGTTAAGAAATTCCCTATTTCTAATATGCGGGATTTCATGTGGAAATCAATCCTTAGTTAGAAGTTATTGGGACCCTCTTATTGTCTTTTTCTATGCTATTTCTGTGTTCTTATCTTTTTTAAAGATGTTAGTGAAAATGTGAAAGAAGCTAGTCAGGATTTAGAGGAGATTCTTTTGTAGAGGTGTGAAAGAAGCTAATCAGGATTTAAAGGAGTTTCTTTTGAAGAGGTATGAAAGATGAATTCAAGCCATCCTATATGAATTGGTGTGATGTGTGCAAATTTAAGAAGAAGAAGAAGAGGGATTTGGGTGTTCAAGATCTTTGACTGGTTAGTATGGCCCACTTAGCCAAATGGAGATGGAGACTAATCATGTCCCCCCCCCCCCCACCCACCCAATTCTCCCTTCTTTTTGTGAAGGTAGATTTTTAAGTTTACGTTATGTGTCCACTTGGTGGAAAGAAGTCTCCCTCTTTAGGTCTAAAAAAGACGATCCTACTACTTGGTTTGAGAAATGTCTAGGTAAAAAGGTAGGCTCAGGTTTTCAGACCTCCTTTTGGACGAACTCTTGAATAAGGAATATTATTTTTAATATTAGGTTCTAAATATTCTTCACCATCTCTTAGGTTTAAGATGAAAGTGTGGTGATCAGTGGTATTTACACAGTTATTTATCGTTAATTGCAGTTATCTTTTCTTTCATTGCCAAGTGTTTTATTTTATTTTACCGTATTTTATGCTTTAGTTGCGTGTTTTAGTGTTTTCAGGGTCAGAGGAATAAAACAGGATTATTAAGGGCGAGAAAGTGCAAAAACTAGGAGTTTGGAGAAAGTAAAAAATACACCTACAGGAGGCATGACACGGCCATCCGTGTCACCTGACACGAGTCGTATCAGGATGGGCGAGTGAAGAAAGATGGAAGTCAGAAGTGCAACACGGGCAGCCGTATTGCCTGACACGGGCCGTGTTGCAACCCATGGGACCTTAAAAGAAGATTTGGGAGTTTGGGAGCCAACACGGGTGCCCGTGTTTCCTGACATGGGCCGTGTTGGCTTGTGACGCTGATTTCCTGATTTTTTCATAATTTTTCCATATGTTGAGCTGTGAAGGCGTTTTGGGTACTTCCGACCGATCTGGATGAATGATGATTATTTAACTGAGTTTTCACAAGGAATAATGGGACTTTTAGCCAGAGAGAATTTCGACGATTGAAGAAGGAAGCATATACAAATGTTGGAGAACAAAGACTTTTCATGAGCGGAAGCAATTGAAGATCAAAGTTCACCAGTAATTTGTAATGTCTATTTTTTATTCTGAAATTACTTTGAACAATATGAGTAGCTAAACCCCCCCAATGCTAGGGGGTGTCCCTGATTTGATTATGTAATGACTTTGAATTTCTAATTTTATCAATTCCATGATTTTTATTATTCAATTTAATCGTGCAATGTTTTTATGCTTTCTTAATCGGACCAATTAGGATTGATTTACGGTTAACAACCAACTGGACTGCGGTTGTTAAGGTTTTTGTACGATTAGACTATAGTAGATATCACCTAGGACTAGGGATACTCTATAGTTATAGGTTAACTCTTGATAAAACAAAGGCTTGATTTCATCGTAACTCTCTAAGGACTTAGGCTTTAGGATGAATGTTCAAAGGTTTTCCCACTAAGGACTTAGGGGAAAATAACCCAAAGGGCTGATAATTGGTATTATGAACTTGTTAAAGAAATCATGATTCAAGGTTGTTACAGGGAAAATTACATACCACACCCTAGCATGCTCCTCCTATTAATAAAAGGCTAATTTATATTTTTGCTTATTGTTAAGTGACAATTACAAAACAAAATCCCCAATTAAGTTTTTGTTTAATTAAACCACAAATTGAACTCGATAATTGTATGCAGTCCTTGAGATCAAGTATTTCTCATTATTACTACATTGGCGAATTAGTACACTTGCTAATTTACCGATCAAGCTTTTGGTGCTGTCGTCGGGGACTGCCAAATTATAGAGTTTAATTGTAGTTCAATTAGAATTTTATTGCTCTACAACTAAAATTTTATTTTTTGTTATTTTTATATTTTTTGTTATTACTGATTTGTGTCTAACCCTTGTACGCAAGGAAAGCCGCCGGCTGAAGTTCCTTTTGACGCAGAAATCGAAAGAACCTTTCATGCAAGGCGAAGACAAGCTCGGCTAACTAGACTAGCTCCCGACGAAGAATATTCAGTTCATACAGACTCAGGTTCAGAATCAGAACCCAAAACTATGGTTGAAAATCCACCACCACCAGAGATACTTCTTGGGGACTATGGAGGAGAAAAATGCTCTAACCGGTCGATTGACTATCGTGAATCAACTGGTAACTGTTGCAAATTTTCAGCTGCACCCTTCAACCATCCTCCAACTCGAGAACAAATCTTTCACCGGAAAGACAAATGAAGATGCAAATAAACATTTGAAAAGGTTTCTCACTATGAGGACTACTTTGAAAATTGAGGGGCACTCTAAAGAGGCAAAGAAATTGAGAATGTTTCCATTCACGCTATCTGAAGATGCTGAAGAGGGGTTTTACTCATTATCGACTGGGAGTATTACTACTTGAGAACAAATAGAGAAGACTTTTCTTGATAAATACTTTTCGGCTTCTGTTTATATCCGCAAAAGATATTATATTGTGAATTTTAAGCATAAAGAAGGAGAGCCACTAGGTGATGCTTACAAGAGGTTCAAGAGGTTTTTGGTAGCTTATCCCACTCACAGTCTGGATCAAATGGAGCAAATGTAGATGTTTATGAATAACCTCGAATAAAGATAAAGCAACTTATTGATACAACAACCGGTGACTCATCCAACTTTATAACAACCACTAGTTAAAGAAGATTATTAAAGGCATTGTTGCAAATGAACATCCGAAGCTATATGACATGGTTGTGAGTAAACCAGAGGGGTGATTGATCTGAAGTTAGAAGTTAACAAGCAACTGGAAATTGAAGCGGAAATTGTTGCAGAAGTGGAGAAAAAGATGAAAGCAATGAACACGGGTACTCAACAGATAGCTCAGGTTCAACAGGTACAAAATGTTGTTTGTGAAATTTGTAGTGGACCACACATTACTGTGAAATGTCTTGCAACTCCACAACAATTTGAGGAGATAAAATTCTTAAAGCAGAATAACCCATATTCTAACACCTATAATCATGGATGGAAGAATCATCCTAACTTCTCTTAGAAAGATCATCAACAACAAGCTCTTCATAAGGCAGAGTGAGAGGTGGCTATTGAAAAGATGGCTGCCCACACTTCTCAATTTCAAGAAGAGACAAGAAGCAACCACAAAAATACCATAAACTGCAATAAAAAATTTGGAAGTTCAAATGG